CACTTTTCACTGCCTGAAAGTAGCGAGCGTTGTTGGGATAATCCACCGAAACGCCTTCCAACAACACTCGGATACAAAAACCCCAAAAGCGCTGAGTGGAAGTTGGCAGAGAAAAGTGATTCATCGAGGACCGATTGGCCACTGGAGCCGGAAGTCGGCTTGGTGAACCGCTATCTTGCGGTGAGACCGAAAGAAGGCATCGAGGCTCATATGATGCCTATGCGCAGCGTCAAATTTCTCGGGGAGGTCTGAAACAAAGTCCCATCTACTTAGCAGATCGGCATCAGTGTTCAAAGGACCAGGAATATGGGAGATGTCACAACTGATTCGTTCGGACATGAGGATGGAGGCTAATTGCTCAACAAAGAAGCATAAGGGAGCGGTGGTCGTAAATAATTTGTTGCCGGCTGCTTCGGCAGCGACGTTATCACTCAAGCTTTGAAAATGCAAAGGGACACAGATTTTGGGGCAAATAGCCAAACAAAGCAAGACGAGAAAACCTTGAGCTAAAGTTTCATAACTACATGCAATGTCTTTTTGGGCATCTGGTCGAACAGGAATGTCCAATTGTTTAATCTCTGAGACATTCCACTTCTCTGCAAACCAGTATATGGTCGAATCGGTTGCGAGCAAACCGCCAATCTGAAATGTTTCCCCTTGGGCCGAGGCATCTGCTGATGCTTTAATGGAAACCTGAGCAGGCGGGCGCATGGTGCGAAGAGGGGGAGAGGTGGTAAGCCACCGCAACCAAAGCTTCAAGACTCGTCGGCTGTGCGTTGAAAGTTTGCGTTGCTGGGACTTTGGGTTGAGAATCCTAAGCCACAATCTACGGTCTGTCAACCGAACTGATTCCACATCGCGCAATGTTTGGACAGGACTATGCCTAACAGAAACTAGTTTTGATCCAGCCGGGATTGCTGTGCCGGTGGGCGTACAAAGAAATGTCAGGTCGTCTGAGAGGCAAGATTTGACCACGGTCCAAAAGCCGGGGTTGACACTGTAGTGTGTAGCGGGGCAACAATACAAATCAGAAAACAACCAATGGAGCAGTGCACGGAATGGCAAAAAGAGATGGGTAACCCAAAGTGCCAAGCCTGTGAATTTTTCAAGTTGTTTGCAGGTGCAGTGACGGTGGGCAAGCAAATCGTTGATAAGTGAAATCAGCTTATCTTGCTTGTCTGCGTGCAAACTGACCAATCCATTGCAGAAATTGAAGCGCCAGCCAATCCAATCGACCATTGGACCTAACGTACACTTACGCCAACTGAGGGGGATGCGAAATACCTGACAAAAGATTGCCAGGAGTGTGGCGAAGATCGGTAAAACTTGCTTGTTTTGAGTCAACAAGAAATCGTCCACAAACAGCCAAAGGCCATGTTGGATCCAAATGAGGCGATGAAAGGTGCGCACTAGCCAAGCTCCTAATCGGCCCCACCAAAAGGCACTAAATGTGGCTCCGAAGGGGCAAACCCGGTAGAAGAAGATTTTGCCACGAAACGTGAACCTTACAAGGCCTTGATGGCGTTCTGCAAGAACTATACGTTTATGTGCTGACTTCACATCAAACGTAGCTGCATGCTGGGGCTCCGAACAGTTGCGAAGCGGGAACGATTCTACAACATCCCGGGCAGAAGGATAGCACTGGCGCTCGGGGATCCAACAGTTTTGATTGGTATTACAAACACTACTATCCAACACCAGTCTCGGAGGGCGAGAATCTGAGAATGCTATGCCCAATTTACCTAGGCCAACTCCTTGGGGATATTCTGAGCATCAGCTTCATCCCCGGAAAACTCAAAAATCCAACCTTGATCGATTTCGTTTTGAATGAGTTCTTCAGTCAAATCAGGATGGTCCTCACTAGATTTCCGATTACCACGATGAATCTGAAGGGCCGGAACATCACTATCTGCCATGGCATCTTTCTCCCAAAACACTCGACTAGGAAGAATTGGGTCATCAGAGGTGCCGGCTGAGACTCCTGCAATCACCCCCCATGCCTGTTGCTCGATAAAGTTGGTAAGGACCTAAAAACGGGGTATCAATAGAGTCACCTATTCTCAAACAGTGTCTGAGGACACCACTCGAGAGAGACAACTTGGATACCTAACGAAAAGGCCCCACAGTGCAATGTCTAAGGACACCACACCGAAGGTCTAGCTTGGACTAAGGACACAACTCAAGCTAAGCAAGCGTACGTGTCGAAGGCCAAACTTACTGAATGTCTAAGGACACCGGTAGGATGCAGCACAGACAAGCAGGACAACTCCGGGTGTCTCACTGCCTCAAAGAACTCTAGGACGTCTGTGTACCCCAAATCAAATTTCCTCAAGCACTGTCTAAGGGCACAACTCAAGGCAGACTGGCGTAAGTCGCGAAGGCACCACCTACCGCAGCGTCTTAGGACGACACAGCAAGAAGCAGTACGGGCGAAGGACACTCTTCCGGTGCGTAAGACTAAGAGGCAAACCGAACCCAAGTCAGAAGAGTCAACTACACAACGGCAAGCGAAGCTGTGAGCCATGTCTAGGGATACCCTCAAGCTAACTTGGGAAAAGGAAAGGTCTAGGGAAGGGGGTGCGTGCCTTAGCACTTGCCCGGGGCTGGGATACTCAGCACACGAAAAAACTCAACCCGTAGGTGATGAGCAATCGGTGACAGAAGGTATGTCCCCTTGCCTGGTGCTGTGAAAGACAGCCAACATGCACAAATCGCGCAAGGCACAGTTGGGGCTTTTCGGCTCAACCAGTGACCTTCCCTAGTTGCCCACCTATGGAGTCCTCTAGCGTTAACATCTCCATGAGCATTGCCAAATTTGATCGCT